ACCAATTCTAGTCACAAGAATAGGTAGAAATAATTCAAAGAAGGACCCACTGCCAACACGGAGATGAGACCTGCAATACAAGCACCTTTGGGTCAGTGTGTTACCTAGAGCTGAGCCTGGGTGAAGGCAAGAGGGGAGAGGGACTGATGTGATAGTTCTAGTCAGTGTCATGGGAGAGAAGAAAAAAGGAAACTCCACTGCTGAAGCTGAGCTGGGCAGACGGCACAGAACTGTGAAACAAAGGAATCTGAAGTATCATAAATGTGCTCACCTTCCAACAAAAAGAGGAGAAACTGTCCCAACCCTATTATCCTCTGGTCTACTTCTACTTTAGTTTCTAGCCAACCCAAAAGGCACATTAAAAAAATTGTCAAAGGGGGCTAAATACTAGAAGGCAAGTAGACTGCCTGGAATGAGGTACCCGGAGAAACCAAGGGGGTCCTCTTCCCAGGCAACCACTGAGTCTCACTGCTTCCAGAGAATAAAGCTGTTGAACCAATCTCCCCTCCTCTGGGGACTTCACTTGTTTCTCTGTGTAAAACAAAGCATAAAGGGAGACCATTACAACCGAGCATCCTCTTGACACCTGCAGCTGACTGCTGCCCAATAACTCAAAACATCCCAGAGCTGGGGGCACTACTTACTGCAAATTACTTAACACTTGTCCCAGCAAAAAAATGCTTTAACATTTTTATAGTTTATAACTTCAAAAAATATATGAGCTTGATAAAATATACATGCTTAGTCATTTTTGCATCTAGCAGAAAACAAATACTTTATTTTTTTTGTTTTTATTTTATAACCTTTAAAGTTTTTTAATTCAACTAGGGCAAACATATTTACACAAAGCCACCAGAACAAGGATCACTTAAAGAGCTGGATGTAAAAAATATTATTGCAGTATACTACAAATATGGAACCTTTTTAATATGGGCTACAAAAAGCAGCATTTACGTTTATAGAGTTCAGTGCAATTTTTACATTAAAAAATCTATAAATTAAGAAGAAAACATCAACACAACAGAAGAAAATATACCCTTCAGACACATGAGCTCCTTTGTGGGGAAGCACTTGGTGACTCTGTGCTCCGCACAACTTCTACTCATGATAGATCTTCCTTTCTGGGATATGCAGATGCCTCTTCTGGGCTGAGGGACTTGAGGACAGGTGTGCCAGATGTGTGGCTCTGTTTGTAAGGAAAGTGGATCAAATTGCAGCCTGAGTTGCTTTTGGTTCTAGGTCAGACTCTGTCTTCTACCTCACCTGGGACAACATGTTACCAAGGGATGGTCAAAGACACTGTCTGAAGGTGGTGGAGCATTCACCGCTGGAGAGACAGTTTGGCCTTCCTTGTGGCACTAAGAAGGCAGGACCAGATGGGCCCATGGCAAGTGCTTTGGTGACAACCCACCAGAGGAGGAAAATGTTTTACAATTTATAGAGGGGAAGAGCAGAGGATTAAAAAGTAGAGGGAGGAGGGAAAATATTGGAACTTGACAGTTTGGAGATGTTGCTGCAGAGTGGGTAGCACTTACTGGTGTTCCTAGCTTAGAAACACAGGAGGGAGACAAAATAGAAAGGAGGAAAAAAAAAAATCCCTGATAGTAAACCCAAAGCAAACCTCAAATCTAAATCCATCCCTGCAAGCCAAAACTCAATTCTTTGGCTGTCAAGACACTGCCCAATCCCAGCTTTTATTTGCTGGTATAAATGGCTCGACACCCCCAGGGGAAGAATTAGGATCATCTTCCCGGCCCTACTTAGGCTTACAACTCCCAACTCAAGTACCATGGCTGGGGGGGTGCTGCAGGTCCTGACCTGAGAAGATGGGGTGAAGCAGTGGGTGAAGGTGGAGGGCAGTGGCAGCTGCTGCAGCAGGCCGTGGAGCAAGCAGGGTAGGGTAGAGGGCAGCATGTGGGACAGGATGGAAGGTGAAGGGCCCAGGATGGATGGCTGAAGCGGGAATTATATGGATAGGGTGGCTAGCAAGAAAGGTGGCAGGGTGGCCAGGGATGATGGAGTGGGTGAGATGAGACAAGGAAATAGGGGTCAGATGGGGCTGAGGAATATGATGCACTTGGGCAAGTGGCTGTGGATGAGGGTGAGGGTGAATGCCAATGGCGGCAGCGGCAGCGGCAGCATGATGTTGTAAGATGGCATGCTGAACTGTTGTGATGGAGGTGGCAGAGGCTGTGGCTGGCTGCTGAATGTGGATAGGCTGCAGGGCTGGTGTGGCTGGAGCCAGGGCTGCTGAGGCTGGAAAGGCCTTTACTTGCTTGGCTAGAAGCTGCTGCTGAATGTGCTGCTGTGCAGCCTGCTGGAGCTTGCTGTACTTTTCCATCTCCTCGGGGGTAAAGGTGATGGGCTGGCTCTCCAGGGGTGCCAGTGAAGCATCCTCAGTCCCATCTGTTGATTCAATACTAGGTTCCCCACTCGGAGGTGCATAATTGGGGAAGTGCTCAAGGTCTGGGGCTATAGGCAGCAAGCTAGATTCCACAGGGCCTGGTTGACTGCTGCTATCCAGGGACTCTAGGGTGTCCCCATCACTGGGGTCAGGGAGGTAGTTATGGGAGATGGCTGGATCCCCAGGGTAGCAGTCAGTGTGTGCTGGGGTGCCTAGCGGAGCCACAGAGTGATCAGCAGTAGCTTCTTCAGACTTTGGCTCTTCTAGGGGTGGGTCTGATAAGGGGCCAGCTGTTTCCTCTGAGGGGAACTGATGTCCAAATGGAGCATCACTATTCCCTAGGGTCCCTTCTTCTGGCTCTGACTGTTCTTGCTCCTCCCCTCTTTCCAAGCCAGACTCTTCACATTTCTTGTTGGGCTTTCGGGTAGCTGGAAGTTTGCCTATCAGTGGAAGGACAGGCTTATTACCAAGCGAGGGGGGTAGCTTGGGGCCGAAGTAACCTTGTGGGGGGTCCTTATACTTGAGCCCTGCCTTATTAGGGGTGGCCAGCACCTCCTCACAAACATTAGGTTTCCTCTCCACTTTCCTGGACTGGATCTTCTCTAATAGCAGTCTAGCAGTGATGGAGTTCTTATCTTCAGGGCTGCAGTCACTTTCTGACCCCCTTCCTGTGCCAGTATTGCTATTCTGGGAGGGAGGGCCTGCTCCTTTAGTGTCATCTCTGCCGTCCTCTTTTTTTCCAGAACCTTCTCCCCGACCGGATCGGAAATAGTGGGGAGACTGAGAGCGGTAGATCTTTGAGCGAATGAAGTCCCGACCACCAGAACGCCGCTCCTCGGGGCTCTCGTGACCCCACGATCCCTTTCTGGAGCCTGATCTCTGGGATGGGCTCCTGGTGCTGCGACTGCGGTCCCGACTATAGCTGCGGCTTCGCTGCCAGCTGTGGGCTGTGGTGCTGCGGCTTCTCCTCTTGCTCCGACTTCGACTACAGCTGCTACTGCGGCTTCGGCCCCGGGATCTTGAGCGCTCCCTGGTATGACTCCGAGATCGGCTTCGGGACTGGCTGCAACTGAGGCTATAGTCGTCATCTGATGATGAGTATTTGCGTCGTTTTGACCGGTGTTTGGAGCTGGCATAATCTGAGTCATCCGAGTCATGCGAGCGCTTGGAGTGCCTTCGTGATCGGTCACTGTAGTCACTGTAGCTATCATCAGAGTAACTGTGCTGTCTACTATAGCAGCTTTGGTCTGAAGAGGCATCTGAGCTGCTAGAGTAAGAACGCCGGGATGAACGGTGTGAGGAGTGGCGCCGGCCAGATCGAGAGCGGCTACGGGAATGCTCACTGCCTGAGTCTTCCTCCTCCTCCTCCTCTTCCTCCTCTTCCTCTTCCTCCTCCTCACTATACTGGGACGGAGACTTCTGGTGCAGTCTGTGTGAAGAAGCATTGTCGCTATCCTCATCTCCACTACTGGGCTGGCTCCGATGGCGAGACCGGCTGCTATGTTTGGTGCCAGCCCTCCGCTGGCAGGAGGAAGCTGGAGGCTCCCCTTTGTGCTTCCTCCCACCACGATCTTGGGAGCTGCTGCCTCCCCCTTCATCCTTCTTGCCACTGCTCCCTTCTTCGGCACGGAGGGATCTCCGCTGGGAATCATCTTGAGCTCGACGCCGTCTTCTTGGTGGTGCAGGGCTGCCGCTCCCAGGAGGTTCCGGTTTGGGTCCTCGTTCAGAATCAGCTGGGGCTGATGACTTCTTCTTCCGTTTTCGCTTCTTGCGCTTCTTAGATTTCTCCCCAGACTCTGCCTTACTTTTCTCTTCCATGTCAGCCTTGTGTTTCCGTTTGTGCTTACTGGATTTTTTGTGTTTCTTTTTCTTTTTGTGTCTGTGGGACTTGCCTGATCGTTCTTTCTTGCTAGGATGGCTTCTTCCTGTGTCTTCAGTCTCTGATCCCTGGCTGCCCCCGGGCTCCTGCTTGCTCAGGCTGCTACAGGCAGCTCCTGAAGCAGGTTCATCCATTCTGTCTTCTGAGGAATGGACTGCATTCTCTTCCTCTTCCTTGCTTCTATTTGGCTCTCCAGGATCAAGGCTCTGGAGAGGATCTTTTGAGGAACCTCCTATATCCTTTGGCTTTTCTGTCCCTTTAGCTCTAGCATCTTTGTTCCTTGAAAGTTTAAAGTCAAAGTACAAAGGATTACAACTGTAGGAAATGGAGGGTTCTGCCTTGGTGAAAATTAATAGTTCTGATGGCCACTGGAGGGCAGTACTTTCATCTCTGCTCAACACTGGGAAGAACGGGCCAGTTGCGTGTTTGGGTCCCTCCTGGCTTGCTTTTCCTGCTGGCGCGGCCTGAGAAGCTTCCTTAGAAGGATTAGAGTCACATGCTTGGCTCTCTGAAGTCTTCTGACTCTCTAAACTTTGCTCACTTATATCCCCTGTGGCCTTCTTTGTCTCAGTTCTGCTTCCAGGTTCTGAGGGTTCAGCCACAAGGGTCTCCTGCTGTTCAGACACTTCACTGATGCTCTTTTCTGCTCCTTGACTTGCTGCCCCCTTAATGCAACCCTTCGGCTTAGGAGAACTGCTTTTTTTGCTCTCTGGGGCGTTCTTTGACTGTGAACTGTTATCACCTTCCATTTGTTCGCTGGCTCTCATAAAAAGTAAGAAAGGAAAATTAGGCTTCACTTTGCAGTGTGCTGGGGGGATGTAGTGGTAATACTCTGGCTCTGTACCTCCAGTTCCCTCTTCTCGCTTCATCTTTTTTAACTTGGACAGTGTTGAGGCAAGAGACCCTCCATCCTGAGGGTCTTCATCTTCCTTTTTACCATCAAGATTACCGCTCCCATCAGTGTCACCCACCTTCTGCACTCCTTGGTCAGAACCCTTCTCCTCAGGCTTTGTTCCATCTTCAGAGGTCCCTTCTTCTGCATGGTCCTTGAAAACTGATGCTATCGATTCAAGTTTGACAGGAGCCTTCTTGGCAAAGGAAAATGACACTCCCAATTTTTGTAGTGGGGTCCCCATATTATTCTTAATGCCAAAGCTAATACCTTGGGAGGTTAATCCAGGAGCCTGTGCCAGTCCAGTGGTATTAGTGATCTGTACTGCAGTGAAGGGGCCTCCTTTATCTGTGGAGAATTCAGATCCTACGCCACAAGAAGCAATGGTACTTATGCCACTGTTTGTCGATGATTCTTCTTTATCCTCAACTCCACCTTCTTCATCTACAGCAACTGTGGTTGGTCTGAACATGGGACCACTTCCAGGTGCACTACACAGTGGTTTAGAAAGCGAGAAGAAAAAGAAAAGGTTTAGATCTTTTTTTTGGTCTTTTTTTAGACAGGGTCTCCTTGTAGCCCCAGCTGTCCTAGAACTCACTATGTAGACCAGGCTGTCTCGAACTCACAAAGATCTTCCTGCCTCTGCTTCCCATGTGCTGGGATTAAAGGCATGTGCCACCACATCCGGCAGGTTTATCTTTTAAAATATTTATCTTTGTCCTATGATTCATCAGAAGTAGGGCTCAAAAAGATCCCAAGTGGTGGTCATTCCCTAGCCATGTGCTAATGAATATAACTTTCTCAGTAGAAGTCAGATAAAGTTTCATTAGATTAACCTACCAAGCTATTTCTTAGGCTGCCTACACTACAGTAGGGCTTACCTCACAACTCCAATTCTCCATCAGTACCATCTATACAGTCTACCTTAATTTGTTTCCAATCATTTCTCTCTCTCTCTCTCTCTCTCTCTCTCTCTCTCTGTTTCTTTTAGACAGGGTCATACTATTTAGCCCTGGCTGGCCTGGAACTCGCTATATAGAGCACACTAACATCAAACTCAGAGAGATTTGCCTACCTCTACATCCTGAGAGGTAGGCAAATCTTTTTTTTTCTGCCTTTTTGAGACAGGGTCTCCCTGTAGCCCCAGCTGTCCCGGAACTCACTATGTAGACCAGGCTGGCCTCGAACTCCCAAAGATCCGCCTGCCTCTGCCTCCCAAGTGCTAGGATTAAAGGTGTGTGCCACCATGCCCAGCTTTTTTTTTTTTTTTAAATTACATGTATTTGTTCTGTGTGTAGGGTGTGCTTGCCCTAGCAAGTATGTGGAGATTAGAGGATAATTTGCAAGAGTTGGTTCTCTGCATTCACCATGATTCTGGTGACTGAACTCAGGTCATTAGGTGTGATGGGCCACTGAGCCACCTCACCAGCCCCTCCAATCTTACTGTATCATGCTACCCATTTAGTGTACTATCAAATATATGGTTGACAAATTATTCAAATGCTATTTTGAGGGGCATGGTGGGTTAAGTCTGTAAGTATAGCACTTGGGAGGCTGAAAAAGGAAGATTACTATTGAGTTCAAGGTCACCCTGGGCAACAAAGTTAAGATTTTATTCCCCCCATCCCAAAATGGGCTACATTTTGTTCAGCTAAAGAAGCTTTAATTTTCTTTGCACTTTCAAATTTCATAAGAAAACTCCTTTACACACCCCCAGCCCCCCGTGTGTGTATCACAGCATGAATGTAGAGCTTGGAGGACAACCTATGGGAGTTGTTCTCTTTTACCATGTAGACTTAGTGGTAAGGGCTTCAAATTTCATTTTTTAAAAAATACATGCTTTTGCCGAACATGGTGGCGCACGCCTTTAATCCCGGCACTCCACTGCAGAGACAGGTGGATCTCTGAGTTCAAGGTCAGCCTGGTCCACATAGTGAGTTCAGGCCAGCTGGGAATACAGGGAGACCCTGTCTCAAAAAAAAAAAAAGAAAGAAAAAGTGCATGTTCTTTGTTTTGTTTAGATAGAGATTGATTATGTAGCCCAGGCTGGCCTTGAACTTACACAGCAATACTCCTTCCTCAGTCTCCAGAGGGCTGGGATAAGCATGCACCACCACATTCAGTTTAAAAATGTGGATACTCTGAACTAAACACAGCTAGAAACCTCTACTGGGCTATTCTGTAGTCAGTATGTCTGTCTTAGAAACTATACAAGTCTGTGTCTATGTCTTCCTCAGCACCATATCCAAACATATATTTTGGTTTAGTGATACATGAGTACCCCTTTGACCATGTAGATCCCCCAGTAGACAAATTGTGGACAATTCTGAACCTTCTATATACTGTTTTTGTTCAATATATATGTGCATGTGAGTGTACACACGTTATGATTAAGTTTAATTTGGAAGTCAGGCACACCAACAGATTAATAACAATAACAGTATTATAACAATACACTAATAAAAGTTATGTAAACATGGACTCCCTCTCAAAGGACAGGCATTGGACATGCTAAACAAAGGCATGACTCACATCATGGCAGAATAGAGTAAGAGATTTCATAAGGTTAATCGGAATAGCACACAGCTTAAAACTTAACAATTCTTTTTCTATAATTTTCTTTTTAATATATACTAATTTGGTATGTGTGAGCACATACACATGGCATGGTAGTGTGTGCAGGTCAGAGGACAATCTGTGGGAGTTGGTTCTCTCCTCAGTGCAGGGAATACAGGCATGTACTGTCACCCCTGCTTATGTGGTACTAGGGAATCAAACCTAAGGCTTCATGAATAGTACTAGATAGGTACTGAGCTACATACCCAGCCCAATTTAAAATTTTTTGTTTGAATTATAGTTTTAAATCTGTAAATCTAAATCTTAAGGATTATAATTATTATAGAACATTACTGAAAGAAAACTTCCTTACCATTCAGCTTGTTTTCTTTGCTCTGCCAACTCATGGAGCCGCCGAAGGGCTTTTTCTTGTTTCTTTTCATCCTTGCGGGATCTTGAAGAGACATTTCGGGCAAACTCTCTCTGCTTGAGATCTTTTAATCTCTGAGTTAACAAAAAGAAAGAAACAGAGGGTGAGTGATTTAAAGTAACTTAGGGATGTGAAAGCAAAGCCTTTAGAATATTTACTCTCAACCAATGTTATAACATTATAGTGTGGAATACATTATTATAGTCATATGGTAACCAAAAATACAATGGCTGATTACTTTGAGTATGACACCTGGATTATCTGTATTTTTAATTAGGACAGAATGTCATTTTTCTTACTGTATAAAACAAAATGATTTCAGAAGCAACATGTAAATCTTAGAATACTGGGAGGAAAGAAAAGAGACTAATCGCCTGCTCTTTGGATACAGAACCAGACAAACAAACATGAGATAAACTGTAGTAACACAGGCCAAAGTGAACAGAAAGGAGTTAGGCTGGTACAGAAAATTACCCAAGGTATAAGATCTAAAAAAGCAATGTACAGCTTACATGGGGGAGGTTTATCTGAGTGAAACGTGTTTTTCCCCCCAGTACCAACAGAGTTTCCTATAACTATTTAGGGCAAGAGAGGTCTTCCAATGCTGGTGTGTTCAGAACACAGCCTGACCACTTTCATCCAGTCAGTCTGCTGAAATTAGAGGGTAATTTTATAGCTTTTCATTCCTTCACAGGCCTGAGAGGAATACCCAGGGGATGAAGGACAGAATACAGTTAAACTGAAGATTTTGTTACTTAAAATTCCAGTAACAGAATGGGTCTTTTATTATCAGAAGCTACTGTGCAATTTTTCTCAAAGCAAAAGAAATAACAAAGCAAAAAATAAAGTGTCATGAAACAGGCTGGTGACATTTCCATCTGCAACAAAAGACAGTGCAACACACTACATAATACAAAAAAAAAATTAGCAAACCAAAACATGCTCTATGCTCTTCCAATAGCTTAGGAAAAGGAATCTGACCCAGTATAAAGTGGACACTGCTTTCAAAACGCATGATGTTCAACAGACAAGAGGAATTTTTTTTGCTCAATATTTATGAAATGTGTTTCAAAATTTTTTGAATTGGGAGGGGGTAAGGAAAGAGAAAGACACACACAGAAAAGATATACAGCTAAAGACACTATAGAAAAACTCACTCTTGTGATCTGGGCTCCCAAATTAGAAGGATTTGCTTTCAATACATCAGCTGAAAATGTTACACCACAAAGAAAAAAAAAGTGAAAAATAAAACAAGAGTGGAAGAGAAAAAAAAACAACAAGGCAAGCATTACTACATAAACTCTCTTAGGGAATCCGCAAACTATTATACTGAACAATCAGGGACAAAGCCATCCACTGTAAAAGGGCTGGGGAGAAGTGAAAACTTGAAAACATGACATATGTACATATACACTAACACAGTACTCCCACTAACACAGTACTCTCATAGGTAAATGAAATCATGTCTCTTTCTGTAATCATTTCTATTTCCTAAAGAAACATGGTTACTGAACTTTAGAAAAGACTGCTGTTGTCTAAAAGCAGCAAGTCTTCATTCATCTTTATTTTAGAAAACTTAAATTAACCAATAGTTAAGCTAAGCTGTTACTGGGACAGGTTGCTCACTTCAACTTTTTCTTTTTCAGTACTGGAGCTTGAACCTATGGCCTCACAAATGACAGTGTTCCACCACTGAGCTCTAGCACTGGTCCTCTTTTTATTTATATTTTAAATTTCTAGACAGGGTCTCACTATGCTGTCCAGCTTGCCTTGAACTCACTCTGTGGCCCAGGCAGTCCTTTAACTCTTGCTTAGAGGGGTCGGACCACCAGGTCCAGTGAAGATCAACTATTTTAAGCAAATATGAATTCTTAGTTTTTCCTTCTGAGTAGGGGATAAAAAAGGATACATCAGGAATATTATACCATGGTTTTAGTTATAAACCTAGCTTTTTTTTCTTTCCTAAACACTAGGCTTTCTTGACAAAATTTAAATAGAATGTGAAGTTCTCACACCTGCCATCCTCTCCTTTTAAACCTCATTAAGTTTCTCCATGTTCAGTCGTTTTTTTTTTTTTTTTTTTTTTTTTTTTTTTTTTTTTAGACTATAACCCAAGGATTTTGAAAGGCTGAGTGAATTACAATGGGAGACTCACTGAGGGCAGAGGTGGTCATTCCCCTAGTGAACTAATCTCCTTGAGTTAACAAACTCCACCACGCCTGGCTTCTTCTCTTTTTTAAAAATATCTTGTTATTTTTATTTTATGTATATGAGTGTATTGTCTGCATGTATGTGAGTGCACCTGTGTTGTGCAATGCCTTGGAGGTCAGAAGAGGACTTCGGATTCCCCTGGAACTGGAGTTAAGGATGGTTCATAGCTGCCACATGGGTGCTGGGTCCTCTGCAAGAGCAGTCAGTGCTCTTAACTGCTGAGCCATCTCTCCAGTCCCTTTCAAATAAATAATTTCATATATTTAACTTCAATTCATCTCTTCTAGGAGTTATTAATTGAACTATAGGACACTGTCAAAAAGAATAATCATTTTTATCAAAGCCTGGAGCCTACAAATTGTGTCAGACTTTCTATTCATTCTTGAAGTTGAAGTAAAAGAACCATGGCCACAGCATTCTGGACACATTCTACTTAAAGTCCCTACAACAGGTATATAGATGGAAGGAGAAATGAAACAAAAGGAGATGCTGTCAATAAACCAAATCTAAATCACAAGCTTCCTTCTAGGTAAACCTACCTGGGTACTCTATCAAAACACATCACAGTAAAGTCTGGAGTCTCAAAGTAGAAATTAGAACGTCAAATTCCAGCCCCAACCTTAAGAGACAGCATTCAGGAAACTATCTCAAACCCACTATGTACAGTTTTCTTTCAGATGATGGCACTCTGATAATATAAATGAAAACAGGTTGTTTCTTAAACATTTATTTATTGTATGTCAGAGGACAACCTGCGGAAGCTGGTTCTGCTTCCACCATGTGGTTCCAGAGACTGAACTCAGGCCATCAGGCTAACTCAAGTCATTGTCAGGCTTGGCAACAAGTCCCTTTATCCATGAGCCATCTCACCACCCCAAGATACAAGTTTTAAGACTCATTTTCTTTAACCTAACTTCAAGTCTCTCCTTCCTACTCAAGGACAAACTAAAGTTCCTTCAGAAAGCCTCTGCCAACCTCTTACTCCTAAGAAGCCAGAACAGCATTCTTAACTGTCAGCACTTTGTCACAGCTCTCATCTAGCAAATGTCATAGTCTGTTTGATAAGTATTTATTCCTGTCTTTCAGAATGGTACTATGTGGGGCTGCAGAGGTGGCTCAGCAGTTAAGAGCACTGGCTGCTCTTGCAGAGGACTGGGGTTTGTTCCCTAGCACCCACATGGTGGCTAACAACCATCCATAACTCCAGTTCCAGGGGATCCAATGCCCTCTTCTGATCTCTGTGGGCACTGCACGACATGAATGCACTTACATACATGTAGGCACTACATTCACACAAAATAAAAATAATGAAATTTTAAAAATAAAATAAAAATTTTTTTTGATCTTTTTGAGACAGGGTCTCCCCTGTAGCCCCAGCTGGCCTGGAACTCACTATGTAGATCAGACTGGCCTTGAACTCACAGAGATCCACCTGCCTCTGCCTCCCGAGTGCTGGGATCAAAGGCGTGCACCACCACGCCTGGGAAAAACACAAAAATTTTTTTAAAAAGATACTTGCTTCTGTTAAAAGAAAAATGGTATGTGTAAAGCTTCATAATCAGAAAGAGGAACCTTTGACATTAATTACTAGCCTAATGAGTTTTTATCTTGTAGCCTTAATTCTCTCATAGTAAAACTATAACTACGTATTAACAGGTTTATGAGATTAAATGTCACAATAAATAAATTTTCTCTTTAGTAACAGAGCTTGAACCCCGAGACTCACTCATGACAGATCAGTGCTCCACCTAACTGTCCAGGCTTGCCTTAAACTTATGCATCATTTAATAAGTCACAACAAAGCATCTAGTAAGTTGCAACTATTCAGCACTACTTTCCTTTTGTCTTATCCTTTTCAAAATATTTTTCTTTTTATTTTTTTTGTCTTTTTGAGACAGGGTCTCCCTGTAGCCCCAGCTGTCCTGGAACTAACTATGTACACCAGGCTGGCCTTGAACTC